CCAAATGCAATGGCTTTGTGATCTGCCACAGAGATTAGCAGCCTAGACATAGCTTCATTGAATTCTCTCTCTTAAAACTGGTCCCAGACTTATGTATTCTTGTTGTGGATATTAACAGAAGGGAATGGATTAGAAAATAAAATTCCTGGGAGTATATGTGGTCTGAACTTTTCTTTTCTTTTTTAGTGAGTTGGGCCTTTATCAATGTTTCATTTTGATAGTGCGTGTAATTTTAATTTGAGAATCCAGAAGTAGTCCAAGTGTTTTTTTTTTTTTTTTTTTTTTTTTTTTTTGAAAATGGCCACTTTCGAAAGAATTATTTTTTTTTAAAAAAAATGTTAAAAAATATTAACTTTCTACTCCATTAGGAAGAGGTTATATTTTGTGGCTATTTTTTTAGATAATGTTACATAATCAATTAAGAATTTGATAAATAAAAAAAAATTCACAGATATGCTCAGTGAATATGTAAAAAAAGATTTCCATAGTGGGACAGTATTTCAATTATGTAGAATATTGACAAGTGTTTAATATGCTCATTTTCATACCCACATCATCCAAAAGCTTAGAGAATATACATGTGTTTAATAAAAAATAAAATAAAATCTTTAAAATAGTAACCTACTGCTTTGATTTAACATATGTGTAACCTGATTGACATGATTTAACACATGGTAATTTATTGTGACACATTTTCATAAAATAAATTATTAAAATTTTAAAAATGACTTTTACTATAACAACATTTGCCTTGCAAATTACTTAAAATACTATAGGTTGTAACTACAGTATGTATGATATTTTTAAAAATCTTTTGACTTTGGAGTTTGAAAAATAAAGTTTATTTTAGTGATTAAATAAAATATTGCATCTAGTATTTGTAACACTTAATTTTTATTTTTATTTTTGTTCTTTTGTACTTCAGTTGCCACCATGTCCTTAAAATAGACATAGTGCTACTTAATACCAATATTGAAGAAACTTTTAAAAAAAAATTTAAATTACCAATCACTTTAAAAGATGAATTGTCTCACTTTGAAGTAGTTAAGGACAAGAATCAAGAAAAATTTCTAAAATGGCAATATATTCTTATATTACTAAAAGTGGGAAAGTAGACAAATAAGAGATAGATGTAAGGTAGAAAGAAATTTAAATGGCTATTGTTAATTAGAAAGAACCTAAAGACTTTTAAACTAAGACTTGAATACAATAAAGGTATTAATAGGAGTGAAGATGGTCTTAGTCTTGTTTCTATATATACTAGTTATCAAGATCTTGTAGAAGCTTCTTAAAGACTATAAGGCTTATGGCCTAAGTATTAAGTTGTAGATTGTTTCTCATACAATGTTTTTTTTAAAAAAAAAAAAAAAAAAAAATAGACAAATATGAATAGCTATGTGACATATTTACAAGAGTCTAAATATCTAGATTTTATGTAAGAAACTTCCTTAACATTTATCAATTGAATTGTAATACAATTATTTTATATCATATCTACTAAAATCTATCAATATTTATACAAATCTGCATAAACTCAAAACTCTTTACTTACAATTACTAAAATCTAATAACTTCATTTTTAACATATTAAAATCTAATAAATTCATTTCTAACATATTAAAATCTAACATATAGAAAGCATCTAAATCATATCATATATTCAAAAATAATGTTTCTTAAAATATTCTTTTATTATTAAAATATTATATTTATATGAGAAAACAAAGCCATATTTTTTATTTAAATCTTCATACACATAATTAGTTACATGTTATTAAAAACTTCTAATTTTTTAAGTTGGTCTTGTGACGTCTTATTATTATATTTTGGTTTTCAATCATTCAACATATGAAAAGAACATAAGTATATTTATATTAATTTAAATAAGTTTACATAAAAAATTAGCCATGAAGTCCTAATATGTATAGATTATTTTTAAAATTATTCATAGAAAGTAAAAAAATAATAATATATAAAAATAAAAGTATAAAGTATAATATTAATTAAATGGAACCTCTTTTTTTAAGTAAAATAAAAATATATATATTTTTATTAAATTTTTGTGAATTAAATTATTGTTAAAGCTTGTTTCTAATTATAAATGTATATTTTAAACTTTCTGATTTATATTTTTATTATTTTATGTTTTTATATTAATTTTAAGCATAATATAATAATTTAAAAAATTAGGATATATTTGTGCCACTCAACAAATAATAGTAACTTAAAAATTAATAATATATGAGATGTTTGTTTTTAATATAGAATTCTTAGAAATATATTAATTTCTATTATTTTTTAAGAAAATTACTTTGCCATAGAATTTTAATATAAATGATAAAATAATCATCACATTTTTTTTTCATCATTTCAATATAAAAAATAAAAAATAAAAGATTTTTCAACTTTTGCAAATTAACTTGTAATGAAACATCTAATAATTGTATTACTAAACTTTGTTTATATTTGTTTCACAGTACTTAATATTAAATATATCTTTTTAAATGTCTCTGTTTTTAATATTTTTTTTCCAATTTTTAAACCAAATATGTGTATGTTTTTTATAAATTTATTTAATTATAAAATCACATTTTAAATATTTAATTTCTAAGTTTTTATAAAAGATACAAACCTACTACATTTTCGTTTTTTTACATGTACATTGGACATCCTTCACATAATATACTGTATTTTTATTATTAAAAAATATAATCTCTATAGTAGTCAATTGAAAAATTGCAAATCATAACAACTTTTTTTTTTAGACTTTGGATCATTAATAAAGTTGACAAGGCAACATACATTTGAAGCGATATGTGTAAAAGCATTGAAGGCAACATACATTTGAAGCAATATGTGTAAAAGCATTGAAGGCAACATACATTTGAAGCGATATGTGTAAAAGCATTGAAGGCAACATACATTTGAAGCGATATGTGTAAAAGCATTGAAGGCAACAATATCTTACAACTATATCACTCTTGGTTATGTGGCACTTTCTTTAAGAAAATTGGGAAGATTTTGGAAGTCATTGGTGGGCAAGATTGTTTCTTATCTTTTGATACTTGTACATGTATTTACAATCTAGACCTACAATGCAACGATAAACTACACTAATGGGGAAAAAAATTATAATTTAATTAATTTTTTTAAAAAAACCTTTAATCCAAATTGCATTATGCTCCGCCAGCTCGCTCGGGCTGTCACATGACGGGACGCAGAGCCGCGTTCACACAGGACACAGCCTTCCCCGTCGCGGAGTTGCTTGCCATAGATTCTAAGCAAGGCTCGGGAATTCCATGGCGAATGCTGCGAGTCCAACGACGAGGAGCTTTCTTTGTGCCGCGGTGAGCTCTCGAGAAGCGTAAGTGGAATGGAGCTATTGCGTCATTAGTTTTCAAGCCCGAAATCGACCTTCACAGAGATCTGTTAGATAGTGTGTAACGTGTGTGGAAGCTAGAGTTTGGCTCTGGGGGAGGTGCCAAGTTTTGGTGTCGTCGCTCTGTCAGCAGGCAGCGGTAATGATTTTGTGTGTGTTAATAGTCGCAGGTATTGTTGGCAGTGAGGTTAGTGGAGCTTTGGTGGTGCTGGTAGTTTGCGTCAGGACGGTGGAGAGTGGCGGCGAAGCTTTGTTGAGTGGTCTCAATAGAATCGTTGGAGATTGCCGAGGAGGAGGATCCGATTATCGAGCCAGTCGTAAGAGCTGTATCAATTCTGCTTCAATTTTCTGGAGGTCATGCTCTCAGTTGTGCCTCTGTGGTTGCGCTTCAGGGTTGAAATATTGCAGCGCTACGTTCTTTGTGTTCTTCGCTGTCTGATGGACCAACTAGTTCGGAGATTGGGATCGTGCCCCTGCCGGATATTCATAATTGGCCTCGACTGTTTATTTGAACAGTGAATGATCTCAAGGGAACAGATATACAGACCTCTACCACCAGCCAAACTTATGTTATTGATAATTATTGAACCCGTGAAAGAAATTACAATGAGGTTAAAGAAACAAAACAAAAAACAAAAAAAAACACCTTTCTCTTTCACCAACTGTGATGGTGAAGGTTCATCTAGTCATGTGATGTTTCGAGGATTCATTTCTTCGGGAGTATCTGATTGCATCAATGACAATTGGACCTGCATTGTTTAGTTTGATTTCTCAATTGTGGTCGACATTGAAGACACATGACAAGGGAGATTATGTGTCAGTGTCGAGAACTAAAGCTAAACCATCATGCTTGAGTGACAGATTGAACGTCCTTGTTGCGAATAGGAAGTATTGACATAGATGCGGAGCAATCGCATGTCGGCAACCCTTCTCTACAACATATGCCTATGAGACGTTAATAATGGGAACATGAAAGGAACAAATGGAGCCTCTGATAAGGCTATCTTCATGGATTAATCCGTTGTTATAAAGCTGGGCAAGGGTGACTCTTGACGCCTGTGAACCACGTCTTTGATTGGAGGCCAGCCCATCGGTGATACACCACAACCAACTGTTTACCCTGTAGCAATTTGTACCTTCAGCGCTACGTCATTCTTATTAGTCATCTTGCAAGAACTGGGAAGTACTTTTCGTCATTTGCAGAGATTTGCAGTGGAATATAATGAACCAACACATGGCAGAGTGTAGATTGTGCAGTAGGTGGTGTTTCATTAATGCCGACTCTGAGTGGCCCGCCCTCAGATGAACACATTGCACAAATGCCTGAATGGCGTCGATTAATCCAGAGTGTATTGCGAGATACTCACGCAAGGAAGAATAGTCAAGGCTCCAAGCAGAAAGACCTAGCTAGCTTGAGGGCAGGTTCAAATGTTCATCAATATACTGTATAAGAATCGAGCTTTCATGCTGCTGTGTGGCCCTTGCGAATCGAATCCTAAGTTACAATTTTCCGCTCTGTTTCTTGTGAGACTCGTATTGATCGCGTCCCATGCTTCCGTTGCGGACCAGAGCTTGATTTCCGTCCTCCTCGAAACACGCCTCCTTACACAGGCATGTTGTCACTTCACTCTTGCATTTCCTGAATGCAAGAGGAGATAATTTGGGGATGACGGGTTGGTTAAAGAGAATTGCGAGGTGTTGTAGTAGTGCCAGACGGAGCGAATTGAGAGTGAGATGCGCTGTACTTCGGGATTGAAGTGTTTTGAATTAGCGTTGTTATCTATAGAGTAAGATTATGGAAAGACTGCCATTCAGGTTCGGAGGTTGCGCGAAGAATTGCACTGTTTGTGTAATATAGTGAATATATTTTAGAAATGTGATGCGTATTTCGGGGCCTGTGTGTTACTAATTTTTCAAGTTTTAAAATCTGCATGTGTAAATGATCATGCTGTCCGCTTGCCAATCACTCCTTGTAGGACGCCATAAATTTGTGAGGCAGTGGTAGCTCTGCTCATCTAAGTGGTGATTCTTACAGAAGGAGCGAGGCAGCACTCAAGCTCAACATGCTCAAGCTTCTCAGCGTTAAGTAGAAGCAAAAAAGAAGATACTGCAATAGCAATGGCTGCCCTGTCAAAGTCCCGGTGAATTGTAAGTGTTCTAGCTTCATGGTGTTTGCTTTTCTTTCTTCTAGTTCTCCTCTATCATTATCATCAAAATCAATTGTGTAATTTTAATTCCTATGCCATTTGTTATTCTTTAAGGATTTAGCTTCTGTTAGGAACTTTGACGTGGCTTCTGCTTTGTTCTGACTAGGGTTTAACAAGGACAGCTTAGCATTGCAGATATCAGTGAGTTGCTTTTGGCTAAGTCTGACGCTGTGCACTTAAGGATCTTTTCTGCTTTGAAACCACCACCTGATGGAGACTGTCACCTGATGCAGCAATCAGGTGAATGTCCTTCACTTTTAGTGGATCATGCAAAATGTTCATTACAAATTAGTGGCATCCTATGAAAATAACAGCAGTTTTCATTGCCCTATATCTAAGATTTCCTGCTGGAATTATTCTTTGGAGCAGTGGAGTTGTCTGTGCTGAGCCATGTTCTCTCTCGTGCAATTGCAGGGTACCATCAACAGCTTATGTTGCTTCAAAAAGTTCTCATAGAGCTCATTCATCCATGCCATGTACCACTTGCTTCACTCATACAAGTTCATTTCCTACTGTAAACAGAATGCAGGGTTTTAGTGTATCTTCATGTAAATATTGACAGATTGATTATTTTTTTATAATTAATTTTAAAAAAAAACTAGAAACAATGTACCAGTAGCAGAACAATAAGTTTGCAAGAATCCACAATCTTGTTAAAAGACAACATTATTACTATCATCTTTGTCACCACCACCACTATTACATGATTGAAATTACAATGCCAATTTGAATATATATATATATATAGATATATACACACACACACCTTGTTCGCTTTATCCTACTTCCATGCAAAAATGATAGCACAGCATCATGGATGAAGATGAACAGAATGGAGGTGTGAAGAACATCAGCAGCACAAAATAGACAATGAAGGGGTGAAGAACATCCATGAAATCATCCGTGAAAGGGTCCAATCATTCATCTGTTTTGATTCCCTTTTTCCTCATTTTGTTTACCTGGGTCCCAGTGTTGGTCCTAATGGGTGGCTGGATCCAGAGATGCACAGGGCCTCCTCCTCATCACCCAGCCCTATCATTCATATTCTCCTTTTGCTTTTTCATACGTGTAAATACAGCCATTCATACCCACAACTTCTCCTGTATGTATATATATATATATATATATATATCTTATATAAAACAGCTTGGGGGCAACAACCATCTCTGATTGATTGCATATTTCATTATTTTCATCAAAAGTGAAGCAATAATTCAACTTTTGATCAATCCAAGATTTAAATCTTTATGCTACATATTGCCAAGAGTAGCATTGTGAGATCATTAGGCATGGAGCTTGGAAGCATCACAACGTGGAATAGCATGCAACATGGAGTTTCATGTCATGTAAAGCTTCAAACAAAAGATTAATTTACAACACATAATTTACAATGTTTTTTTAGGGCCAATAGCATGGATTTCCACTAGTACATATATATATAAATATATATAAACTATCTATACATATATATAAACTTATACATATTCATTGTGTGTGCAAACACATTTTAGATAGTTTTCTTTAATCATGTAGTTTCTTTTCTATTTGGGAACGTCCAACCATTCTAGCTTCTTCAGAATATATATATATATATATATATATATACAAAAAGAAAAAGAAAATGAATCCTTAATTAGAACCAAAAAATTTATTAAAAAATATGTGTTCATAAAAATACTCATACACATATACCTCCTTTATCCATCCCAATTCTTTCTATACATAAATAAATAGCCTTATTTATGTAAGTATCATGTTAAAAATAGGATGGTGCTAATGCCACCAAAAAATTTGCTACTATTACCACAACTTGTTCTTATTCTTTTTTTTAATTATTTTTTATTATAATTAAATATATATTTTTGTATAATTTTAACTAAATATATATTTAAAATATTAATAGAATATTTTACTAGGATAGAAATATTTTAAAAATATGTTTAATGAGTATTGGGTTGTTGTTTTAATAGCAAAAACTATGGTGGCATTATCAACACCCTTAAAATATGATGGGAGTTACTTAGAAGTTTAGAAAGTCGATTGAGAATAAAAACATATATGTATTTATAGATAACCAAGTAAGATGAAAAACAAAAAATAAAAACAAGTTTGATATATATATATATATATATATATATGTTTATTTATTTATTCAAAATATTAATAGATTATTTTATTCCAATAAAATAAATTAAAGGAATATGTTGAGTGAGTGGTGAGTTGTGATGGCAATGGATAAAATTGTGGTGGCATTGTGAACACCTTTAAAATATGTTGGAAGTTACTTGGAAGTTTAAAAAGTCAGTTGATAGTAAAAATATGTGTTTGTTTATAGACAACCAAGTAAGATGGAAAAATTTAATTAAATTAAATTAAAATGATATCCACCTTGATCTTGAGTAATGCTCAAGCACAAGCATAATACCACAATTAGTGAAATCAAATGTTGATGATAGAAATTTAACATAGGATGTTGGTTTGTATCAATAATCACAGTTGGATTTCAGCTTTTTTTAAAGTATTTTTGAAATAATATTCCAGTAAAGAGGATTTAAAAGATTTTTTTAATTTTTTATAAGATTAATTATAATATACATATATCATTCAATACCAAGAAGAAACACATTTTTTTACTCCGGTGACCCATGGATATGAATTGACAGTTATTGAACTGCCCAAACGAGAAGAAGGGCAGCCACAAAATTAAAAATATATGTAAAGGTTAAAAGGACGTTGGAGTTTGAACGAAGCTCGAGTTGAATTGGCTTCTAAGGAAAGCCAAAACTCATGGCCATTTTTAATAATACACACAAAGACTGACAATTTCCAGGAAGGATGCACATGGCCAAGCGCCACCGTGGCAACACCCACCATGGTGACCTGGCGGAGATCATGCATTGCCGTCCAGTCCTCTAGTGACACATCAGCACTTGCTTCTGCCATGCAAATCTGCCCATTAAAGTTGCTCTGAATTATATGCAATTTATTTCATGAACCTATACAGGAATTGAAGGAAAGATTTATGGTGGAAAATAGTGGCAAGAGCAAGTAGTGTTTAGAATGCAAATTCCAGATAAAAAGACTAAAGTCTTATACATTGAATGTGTAGACTTTTAGAATGATTTAAACTTTTTCAAATAAATGGAAGTGGGATTTATTGTTAATTTTCTTAGTGGAGTAATTGGACAAACAATAGAAGAGTTGTGACTTGTGATTCAATGGATTTGCATATATTAATTTGAATATTAGCAATTTTATGAAATGGTGTACTTTACTGCAACTATTTTTGAAGGTAATGTTTTTTTATTATTCTTATTATAGTCATTTTAACTACACATGATTGTAATATGATTAGTAGCATATATATATATATATATATTATTATTAATATTTATAACAAATTATATTATAAATATTTGAAATAAAATAAAAAAATTTATTCTTAAAATATTAGTATTACAATGAATAAGCCTTTAGAAATTATTACAAAGAAATTAGTATTATGTAGGTTTGTAAAGACCATAAACTACATATAATTTTTTGTAATATTACTATGATATGTTTTAAACAAAAAAATCTAAGATATAATAACATAAATAAATCTTAAATGCATATAATAAGGCATTTTATATTTTAACAAGAAATGATATCTATGACTATTTCAATAATTATTAAAAAACGAAGATACTTTAATATTAATATACAAGTTTCTTTGTATTGTAAGATATTAAAAAAAAACTTTTGGTATAATATTTGATATCTTGTATTATGTCCCACAATGACCAAAATATCTTATTTAATACCTTTAATTTATAAGAAATAGAATAGTATTTATTTGTCACTGTTTGAAATATAATACAACAATTAAAATACACTTGTAACTTATGAAAAATTGTGTAATAGCTTTGGCATGAAATAAATAAATAAATAAAAAGACATTGATTTCTAATTGTTTTTTTTACAAAGGTCGTTTAGATTATGTAATAATAATTTAAATAAAAGGCTTTATTATTGTCTATGGTTTGATAAACAAAGTTTCTATAGAAACTATATACAATAGATATATTTTATTTTTCTAATATGTAGCCATTATTGAATAGAAGACAAAAAAAACTATAAAAAAAAAAAAAAAAAAAAAAAAAAAAACCTAAAACCAAATATAAGATTGGAGTGGTAAGTATAAGACATTCTATTATATACATTAAAATTGTACCTATATGGATTAAAATTTATTTAGTGTTGAACCAGGATATAATAAATAAATTTATTATATTAATCAATAATGTAATACTTATCACATTTGATATCATTTATCAATCTCTATGATGTCCTTTTTGTAGACCACATTTCTTAAAAGCCTTCTTAATAGTTGTTACCATGTATTTTGTCAAACCATTTACTTCAAGATGATCTCACAATGTAGTTCTATAATCATTATGCCTATTCTAATAAAACTTTAAATTTCCTTAAGAGATCTCTCCCTTGTTAGTTAATACATTGTTGGAACTCCAAATAGACTTAGAATCCAATCATGGAAAGCATAAGTTGCTCTTTCATTAAATTTGTGAAGCAATGCCTCTAACTCTATTTATTTAGAGAAGTGTTCAATCATTGTTGTCTTGTAGTACGACAATTAGATGAAAGAGGAAAGGAAATATTATATTATAGAGGAGCTTAAAAGAAAATATTTCAATAAATTATCTTAAAAATATAAATAATAGACAAGGAGGTAGTAAAGATTAATAAGTATTAATGCTACCTTATAAAAGAGGCTTCTACTTATTTTTTAAGGCCATAAATAAAAGAAAAAAAATTAGATTAAAATAATAAATTATATATGTATCTTCAAGAAGAAGTTGAAAATATATTTTAGCAAAATTTACTCCAAAATACCAAGAATTGATATCCAAAGAGGATTGGCAGTAAATCAAGGTCAAAATCATATCTCAAGGCAAAAAACTATGCACCTATGGTAATTAGAAGGTTCTTTAGCTGATCAAATAGTAGAAATTGAAAAAAAACCAGTGAAAGTTTTTTAAAAGTTAGTTTTATGTAAATTGAGGGCTTTTCAAAGTAAGAAATGTATGCAATAGTTTTGGGTTTTGAAAAATAAAAAGAGGTTTATAATTTTAAGTATTAAGTAAGTGTTGTAGTACATTTATAAGTAAAATTTTGTTATTTTTTTATTGTGCTTGTATTCAATGTGTTTAAAAAATTTGATGTCAATTGAATAGTTAGATTAAAGAATATGAGAATTTTATTGGATGAAGATTTCAAATTTTTGACATTTAGGATCAAAGAAGATTTTTATGATTCTGAAAAAGTTGCTAACTTGATTGAAGCAAAAATTAGTAAAAATAATTTGGATTTAAAAATCTACATACTAGCTAATTTTTGAAGCAATGAAACAGTTTAGCAAGGAGAAACTGCTATTGAAAGATCAACATCCAAGTTAAAGAAGGACAACAACCATCATTTAAGAGGTTTAAGAGCTTTTTCTTTTGATTGGTGAATTCAAATTTTTTCAAATTTTTTGTGCTTCTTAATTTCTTGTAGGTTGAAAAGTGAATAAAATTTGAGTTGAGATTAATAATTTAATTAATATTTATTGAGAATTTAAAAAATCTAAATGAATTGATTAGAATTATATTAGGATGTGGCTAGGATTGGTTTAGAATTTCATTAGGATT